TTACTTAACAGTTCTCAACATGATTCTTACCTGATCTTGGATTTTCTTCATTTCGTTGAGATTCTTCACCCTGCGCAGATAGGCAATCCGATTGTCAACCTGCCTACCGAGACGTGGATTATGTGGCAGACCCAGGCGACGAACCTGCAGGAATTATCTTAGATGAGGATACTTCACTGATCAGCTTTTTTCTTTGAAGCGATACAAAGACTTGAGTATGTTCAGACTTTGCGTCCGTTTTGAGCGGCTAGGAAATAATAGGTGTTGATCCAGCTGGCCTTACTCTGCCCTACGCTCAAATCGCTGACGCGAAGTACGAACGCACCCTAGGTAGTGCCTACCTCCTCTTCAAGTTTCTCCTGTCGAACTGCATTATTCCAGTCTTCGTAGAATGAACGGTCGACGATTTCCCTCAGAGTTCTGAAAACATCAATGCAAATTTGATTCAATAAGCTCTGAGAGGTAAAAGTACTACTTGGGTAATCCTGCGTGAGTTCCGGGTGTTCCCACTGGTTCCATTGCATGATTATGAGCTCCTCGCTCCTCCACAATGATGAACTCGTTCATCCTCCTCGCTCTGACTCGATAACGACACTTACTTTGTAGACGATTTATGCACTCGTAACTGAAAATCGATTATACACAGGGCTAGCATATAGCAAAGAAAAAACTGACCAGAAGGGCTACAGGGTTCACAACTGAACACAATCTCTCCATGCGACACTTGAAGTGACCCCCTTCGTCACAGGTGGCGTGGACAGTCACAAATCTTAAGTCCACAGGCGTATAGGCCGTACCTTTCGAGTCAGGGTACAGCATCGCTGAGGGAATCCCATCAAGGGAGTCCTACTCGGTCATTAGAGGGGGGAGGGTCATATTCTGTCGATGGAGGTTTTAAAGGTACTGACACAAACTTTGCCGACCTTTTCCCTCCCCCCCTGGTCGATGCCAGATTTCGAGAGAGAACTGGGGTGGGGAGGGGCGCTCCTAGCGAATGAAAAAGATTTGCGCAGATGGAGTTGTCTGACTCTGTCAATTTTCCCATCCCGATGTTCTACCCTGTTTCAAGTCACGAAAACGGTCCTGCTTATT